GCCTGAGTCCCCTTGGGGCCCAACCAGTCCCGAGGAGCCAGTCAGCCTCCCTGGGGTGTGGCTGTTGGAGCACAGCAGGCAGCAGAGGCTGGGGGTGGGGGGAGGGAAGGCCACCTTGACCTGACCCCCACATGAAGCCTGCTGTCAGCCTGGGCTGGCCGGTGCCTCTTGGCCCCGTCTGCAGACCTTGGTGTGTGTACGTGTGGGTGCTGGTGTGTGCTGTATGTCGTGTGTCTGTTGTGTGGTGTGTATCGGAGGGACAGTACGTGTTTTTCTGTGCCCAGGTGCTCCGTCGTTTGCGTGTCATTTCCTCAGATGTGACCTGAGCCTGGATCAGCCTCCGGAGAGCTGCCATTTAGACCCTTGAGCCCTGTGTCCGGCCCGCACTGCCTGGCGCCTTCCAGGCAGGCTGTTGCAGCTGGAGATTCTAATCAGGGTGCAGGGCGACTGTGGGGACCGCTGCTTCCTCAGGGCTGGGTCCGAGCAGGTGGTGGTTGGGTGCCATGCCAACGTCCAGACCTGCGCCAGCTGTTGTTTTCACCCTGGTCTGAGGACCCTGGAGCCCCGGAGGCAGTGAGCGTGGCAGGTCCTTCTGGTTCCTTGTCTGCTGACTGTCCCCAGCCTGCTCAGGCCTCCTCAGGGCTTGTTTCTCTAGGGACCAGGTGGTGAGAACTAAACAGTGTGGCTAATTAGAGTACAGCGCTGCCAGCTTCCAGAAGGAAGCCCATCCCCACCCCGCCAGCCAGCCCAGGCCGCAGGCCAGGATGGCAATGTGCTGCTCACAGGACCCCTGGGCGAGGGGCAGGGTGAGTGACCACTTCCAGATAGCTCTGTGCAGGGGCCTGGTGGAACCGGGCAGCGGATGGGGGCTGGCGGTCTGAGGGCAGCGGTGCCAGGTTTCTTAGTCTGTGCCAGGCCCCAGGGTGAACACTGTGTGTTCCGTGTGTCTCTGACTCTCGAAAGAACCCTACCGAGTGGGGTCTCATGCTCTGCCCATGTTCCCGATGAGCAGGGCTGAATGACCTGCCCGAGGTCACTAGCAGGCAGCAAGCGTGTCGGGCGACGGAGACTCTCCACCACTGTGTCCACCATGCGTGGGCAGGGGGTGAGGGCTTGCCCTTCCCACCAGCCCCTCCGAGCCAAATGCCCTCCCCATGTGACCCTCCCAGTCCTGTGTGGCCCAGCATGGCCCCGGGACTAACAGGGGTCGCTGTTTCTCCATGCCTGGGTTCTGACCCTGCCAGGACACTGGACTGGAGACTGGCTGAGCCTGTGGACTGGAGCTGGACTTCTGCCCTAATTAGGACTGTCATCCTGTGCTCCAAAGTGCCCTGCCGCACTGGGGGGTTCTTATAGCCACGAGCATTCTCACACCAGGCCATCCCTTGCCCCCAGCAGTCCACAGCCCTGTGGGGGAGGCAGATGGCTGGGACCACGACCAGGGGTGGAGGTGAGGGGACCTTCGTCAGTGTGAGTGGCATAGGGGAGGGAGGCAGGGGTCAGCAGGGGAGCTGCGAGTGCCTCACCAAGTCCGAGCACGGGCCAGACCTGTGTGAGGGCTGTTCCTCCGCCCCAAGCAGGGGCAGGTGACAGCTGCAGCCCACTTCAGAGGCCATGGTCACCCCAGGAGGTGCAGGAGTGCAGGGGCCAGGCAAGGATGACCGCAGTAGGTGCAGCAGCTGTGGGATGGACGTTGGCAGAGGGTCCTGGCAGGGAGAGGGACATCCCGAGGCCTTTGGGAATCGGTGCCCAGCTCTGGATTTGGAACTGTGTCTGGAGGCCCCATGGTGAAGCCGGCGGGGTACAGCGGGGAAGGACGTTGGTGGGCTTGTCACAACTCACAGGGTGCCGATGATGCTCGTGGGGTTTATTTTCACGTTCACCACGCATTTGTTTTCCTGGTTTTGCTTTTATCGATGGCAGAGGTCTAAACTGACTGCTCCGCCACGTTTATGACGTAGCTTCCGCTGTCTGCTGGAGGCAGCTTAGTAGTTTTCCAGCTACTGGGGAAAAGGGCGCCAGGCCCACCCGTCTGGAGAAACTTCCCGTCGCTCGGTTCCAGCCACGTCTGCTCAGAATGACCCTTCCCTGTGCCTTTCTGGGAGCAGGCTGGGCAGTCGGGGGGATCCAGGGGAGGATGCCCCCCCAGGACCCCACCTGATGTGGGGACTGGAGGGGCTGGCAGCGGGGAGGTGGCCCTTCAGTAAAAGGGCCAACCCCTGCTTAGTAGGACGGGCTTGGGGCTGCAGAGGTGGGTGGGTCCCCCCGCAGGACGGTGGGGATGGGCTTGTGTCCTTGTCAAGGCTGCAGAGGGAGCCTGCCCAGGTGTGGGGAGGCTCTGGGAGCAGACGGAGGTGGCGCTGTCTTCACCTGTCCCCTCAGTTGTCCAGCCGCTAAGGGTGGGGGATGCCATGGTCACTCCCTTACGTCCCCGGAGCCTGCTACAACATCCCAAGACCTGCCACCGGGGTGTCGCAGGCGCCACCTGCAGGCCAGGAAGCCCAGCCCACCAGGGACACACTTATGCCTTGTGACCCTCCTAGAAAGGCTGCTTCCCCAAATCCCCAGGCTCCCCTGTGCAGCCCCAGGTCAGTCCCCTCGGAACGCAAACGTCATAAAGATACATGCCGGTGGGACCTGCTCCCTTTCAGCCTCGTGGAGCGATGTCCCCAGTGGATCAAGCCGGCCTGGGCAGGGTGGGACTCCTGGCCAGGAAGATGAGGCCGAGACAGATGGCGGCCAAGGCGCTGCCTGCAAGGGGACCTGGCTACAGAGGTATGTCAACTGTCTGGGCCACCAGGTGTGGTTGAGGGCCCTGGGGCGAGAGGCTGGATTTGGGGTCCTGCTAGCTCTATGCTCTGTGGCACACACGTCCTTCCCCTCGCCCGACTATAGGGGAGGCTGGTGGGGGTGGGAGGGGTGGCACCTCACATCCAGGCAAGGGCCTCTCCCTTCTGCTGGTGGCTAAATGTTGAGCTGTGTCCCCCGTGACCAGGGCCCCTGGCTCGGAGCCCTGTCCGTGTCTTACCCAGACAGCAGTGACGCCAGGTGTCCTTATCCCCAGGACAATTTCTTTAGAACAAGCCTCAAGGACGGCGTTCCATCCTCCATGCCTGCCTGGAATGAGGGGGTCTTTTGCTGCAGACCCCCTTCCCTCGGGGGGTGCTCTAGAAGGAATGCCTGTAGGGCAATTCCTGAACTAACACGTGCTCATAACCATCTCAGCCACTCCCTGACCGCTCACGACCATGGCCACTAGCTCAGGTCCTTCCTGCAGGAGTGAACTCCCCGAGGTGAGCTGGGCAGGGGGCCTCTGGTCGCTCAAGGGTACTGTCGGCTGGGGCAGAGCTGGGATTTGAACCAGCTGTCCTCCTGGGGGACCGTGCCATGAGAGCTCAGGGCCAGCTGACCGCAGAGTCCGTGTCCTCCCCAGCACGCTGCCCTCCCAGAGTCATCACGAAGGTGACAGGAAGCCCATTGGAGGTAGACAGGAGCTCAGGGGCCGGGAAAGCAGGCCTGGGACTCCCGGTGCTAGGGCAGCTCTAGGTGCTGTTTCTATGCCTGGAGCACCCGCCGGCCAGGGAGAGGCCAGAGGCCAGCGCCTGCTCCCCCTGACCAGCCCCAAGCAGCCAGAAGGCGGTGGCTTTGAGAGAAGTGGCTGATGTTTCTGCCTTAGTGTTAGGGCCTGAGCACTTGGCCTCTCATTCAGCTGCTGGACATGCATCAGGCTGGCTCCTTCCTCCAGCACCCAGGCTCCCACACGGACCCCTCTTGGAACCGAACCTTGAGCCTGACACCAGCCTGGGGTTGAGCCCCAGCCCTGCCTGCTCCCCTAACACTGACCCTGGTAGCCCATCCCTGCCCCCAGCACCTCACTACTCCCCACTGTGGCCCGGGACAAGCCCAACCCCCAGCCCTGGCCAGCTCACGCACCACGCATGTCAGCCACTGGCCCCTGTGCTCTAGGAGGACTGGGGTGGGGGTGCTGCCTGGATCCCCAGGAGGAGCTGAAGGCCTCAGCACTCGGTTGCTGAGTGACAAGGGTTATTGTGCTGTCACGGGGCTACTGGAATTCTCTCCCACCCAGCCGAAAGGCAGCTTATTAGGGAGGCCCCCCAGGCCATTGTCCAGGGCCCAGCAGTCCACCGTGCCCACCCAGTTTCCATGACCATCCTGAGGATTTCCAGCTTGGGCCAGAGGACCGGGACAGGCCAGCATCCGCAGTGGGACAGTGGCCATCCCGCCTTGAGCAGGGATGGACGCCGGGCTGCAGACCACAAAGCTGCCCTGTGAAAGCACCCCGCACAGGTGGTGACTGGGTTTGCCAGCTCCGCCCTCGCTCCTGGCCCTGCGGCCATGCCAACCTGCCTGGAGAGATGAGCCAGCCCCACCCCAAAGACGGCCAGAGGCAGGGCCCGCTCTTGGTCAGGGCCCCGAGGAGACCGGCCGTCGGGAAGGCCGTCACCAGGCCTAGGTAGTCTGTGCCGGCTTAGGCACGTGTGTCAACACACCTGGCAGGGTCGCGTCACTGCTGGGGAGATGGCCACACCTTCTCCTGGAAGGCGGCCGAGTCAGTGTGAGGAGCCAGGACTTGGGGGCCAGAGTGCCCCTTCTGTGTGCCTTCTCCCCGAGTCTCGGGTTCCCCATCTGTAAACAGGGCTGATCAGGGAGCCTAGCAATAGGGGTGTGGTCAGGACCTGAGACAGCTCGCCGGCGCTGCCACGCACGGGGGCATTTTACTGGCCCCCACACCTTTCTCAGTCTGTGGGTATTCTGGGACAGGAAAAATGGGGAGCAGGAAGGGTGCCAGAGACTGTGAGATATTCTGCCAGCTCTCCACACCTGACCAGCTGTGTCTGCTTCTCTCCCAAGGGCAGATGGGCTGCATCTACCTGCAGCTGAGGACGACCTCACGGCTGCCCTGAGGTGGCACAGGCCCTCTGTGCAGCCAGGCACCCTGTGGAGAGCTCCCTACACAGCCTGGTCTGACCGCATCAAGAAGCCAGGCTCCCCGGGGAAGGCCTGCGGCTACCCAGTGTGGACAGCAGGCGAGGAGGCCAAGGATGGGGACAGCTCGGTGTCATCGGGCCGTCTCTCTGGCTCTTCGGGGGGCCATGAGTCGTGCACACCTCCCCACGGGCCCTGGAGGGAGAGGCCCCCCCAGGTGCTGGGGTCCCCACGGCGGCCCAGGGAGAGCAACCCACGGCTGGAGCAGCTGAGGGACAAGATCCGGGCCCAGGTGCGGTGGCAGGCCAGCTGTGCCTCCCTGGGCACCTCGATACCCTCCAGCGCCTCGCACCTCTGCCAAGCCTCCACACCAACCCCCCGGAGGAAGGCCCAAAAGTTGAAGCGCCCCGCTCCGGCCCTGGCCTGCCCAGGTCAGTGGCGGCTCTCCCTGGTGAAGGGCAGGAGGGCAGGGAGGCCACCAGGAGGGCCTTGCTGGGTGCCGGGGTGGAACCACCTGGACTGGGAAGGGCTCCCAGCCTGGGGGTCTCCTGGAGGGGCACTGAGCTGACCTTAAGCATGAGGAAGGGTTGCTGAATTGATGGGGACGGGTTTCGGGCTGGGGGAGCCAGTGGGGTTGCACACTGGAAGGCGGGAGGCATGGAAGGGGCCTGGCGCCCTGGGCCTGGAGTCTGCAGCCTTGTGGAAGGGGGCCCGGGGTAGGTAAAGCAGGTGAGCGCCATGCTCAGCTGTGTGGGGACTCCGGTCAAGGACACCTTGAAAAGCTTGCAGGGGATTTCGAAGGGTCTCAGAAACAAGGCATGCTCTGGCCCCAGGGCATGGGCGAGAGTGGGGATTTAAAGAACTATCTAGACACTGCTTCTCTGTTGGACAAACAGCAGAGACGCAAGCCTTGTGGCTCTTCTCACTGTGCAGGCGCATAACTTTTTCTAGGAGACAGGGAAGATGTTTTCTTTTCTTAAAGAATTATTATTATTATTATTTTACTTTTTTTTAAAGATTTTTATTGGGGAATTGGGGNGTGCCGTCTTGAAGTCTGGAGGGTGAACTATCCCAGGTGACACCCCCCAAAATCGCGTTTCAGGAGGGCCGGGATAGACCCGTTCACCTCCAAGCCTCCTGGCTCCTGACTCCCGGAGACCTGGGTGGCTGCTGGGGGGTCCCCGGGGAGAAGGGAGAATGCCGGAGCAGTGGCTGGGAGGGGGCCGGCAGCCCAGCAATGACTACTGGGGGCGGGGCTCTGGACCACATCTGAGACCCCTTCCTGCCCTGACCTCCACTGCCCTGGGGTTCAGTGGCGAGAAATGCCCCAGGTGTGTGCCCCGTGCCCAGGTGAGGCCTCAGCCTCCACAGAGCTGGCCTGGAGGAGGAGCTTGTGCAGATTTACACATGGGTTTCTCTGGCAACGTCAGGGCCGGCGTCTTCCCAGCCTCCTGGCCTATCTCCCAGGTGCCTGGAACACGGGCAGGCACCCGGGGACCTGTGCTCTGCTCCGGGCTGAGTTTTCAGCCATGGCTGCTGCCCGGCGCCCTCCCACAGACAGGGAGGCCTGGAGCCTTCTAGCTGGTGAGTACATGGTGGGGGAGGGCCTACCTGAGCCCTGCTCATTCTGCCCCAGGCACCGGGGGTAGGGGTACAGGTGGGTCAGAAGGGTGGCTTAGCTTTTACTCCTTCCAAAGACTTGGCTGGGTGCAGCCTAGCCACCCCTCCTGCATGCTGCTACCCTGGAAAGGGACCTTCTTGCCTGGGGGTCTCCTCTGAGGGCTTGGGGCCTCCTCAGCGGCAAAGCCAGGCTTCCCCCCGACAGTGGGCTGCCCACCAGCCCTACCTACAGGGCAGCTCTGCCTCTGGGCTCAGGTCCAGCTGTGGGCCACACTAGATTATCATCTAATGAACCCTGCCTCAGTTTTCCCACCTGTAAAATGGGGATAGACACTACCGCAGGCCCCAAATGGGGCTGATGGTTCTGTATTTGGTCCCACCAGACAGGTTCATTACCGACAGTGGGCCCAAGTCAGCACAGACCCCCTCTAGCTAACTCTCCTTGGGCAAAGGGCCTGGGTCGTCCTGTCCTTCTGGAAGGCTCCCGTCAAGGAGTGAGTTAGAGGTTGGAGCAGCAGGAGACCCTTAACCGTGCTCCCCAGAAGCCATGGCCCCTAGTGACTGTTCTGAGCCCTTGAGGATGGTTTTGGTCCCCAGGACGGAGGGGTCTGTCCACCGGCTCCTTTCCCAGGCTTGCCAGGGTCCACGGCTGTGTCACGGGTGCTCCTAGTCTGGGGGAGGTGCTGCCAAGGGCAGGTCTCTGCTGTGTGTGTGTGATCGTGGGCAAGGTGACAGTGACTTCCTCATGAGCTGTGGTGAGGAGCTCCAGGTCGCTCTGGGTTGCCCGGGGAACACGCTGGGCGTGGCCCTGGCCCTGGCAGGGTGCCCCTGGTGGGGGCTGGCTCAGAAAATGTGGCTGGAAGGCTGGGACCAGACCCGGGGACAGGGGTGCAGGGAGGTGGCTGGGTCTGGGGCCTTGAGGGGAGCAGGCCTCGGTGTGTGTGTGGGGGGGTGGCGCTCCCTGCTAACCTCTCTTTTTGACATGGTGGGGGGTCTCCCTTTGGCATGAGTGGACAGTGGCTCCAGGCTCCCTGGGCGGGCTGCGGGTGCTGGTTTTTCTTGGGCTGCTGCATCACAGTTCTTTCTTGTTTAGCCAAGGGGGGTTGCAAGAGCTGGGGCCAAGAGTCCGGGGTAAGAGCAGCTGTGCCTTTATTGTCTACGTGCTGCCACCTCTGACTGCAGAGCCCGCTGCTCTTGGCCCGGCCGTTGTCTGGGGTGTTTGCTCTGCCGTCCACACTGCCATCTGGTTTCCCCAGCGGCTCCCCTCCTCCCAACCTCCAACCGTCTTTCCAAATCTCTGGCTGTTGTCACCTGCTCCTGCCCTTGCATCTGTCACCTCTCTGTGGCCCGAGTCCCCTTGGGGCCCAACCAGTCCCGAGGAGCCAGTCAGCCTCCCTGGGGTGTGGCTGTTGGAGCACAGCAGGCAGCAGAGGCTGGGGGTGGGGGGAGGGAAGGCCACCTTGACCTGACCCCCACATGAAGCCTGCTGTCAGCCTGGGCTGGCCGGTGCCTCTTGCCCCCGTCTGCAGACCTTGGTGTGTGTACGTGTGGGTGCTGGTGTGTGCTGTATGTCGTGTGTCTGTTGTGTGGTGTGTATCGGAGGGACAGTACGTGTTTTTCTGTGCCCAGGTGCTCCGTCGTTTGCGTGTCATTTCCTCAGATGTGACCTGAGCCTGGATCAGCCTCCGGAGAGCTGCCATTTAGACCCTTGAGCCCTGTGTCCGGCCCGCACTGCCTGGCGCCTTCCAGGCAGGCTGTTGCAGCTGGAGATTCTAATCAGGGTGCAGGGCGACTGTGCGGACCGCTGCTTCCTCAGGGCTGGGTCCGAGCAGGTGGTGGTTGGGTGCCATGCCAACGTCCAGACCTGCGCCAGCTGTTGTTTTCACCCTGGTCTGAGGACCCTGGAGCCCCGGAGGCAGTGAGCGTGGCAGGTCCCTCTGGTTCCTTGTCTGCTGACTGTCCCCAGCCTGCTCAGGCCTCCTCAGGGCTTGTTTCTCTAGGGACCAGGTGGTGAGAACTAAACAGTGTGGCTAATTAGAGTACAGCGCTGCCAGCTTCCAGAAGGAAGCCCATCCCCACCCCGCCAGCCAGCCCAGGCCGCAGGCCAGGATGGCAATGTGCTGCTCACAGGACCCCTGGGCGAGGGGCAGGGTGAGTGACCACTTCCAGATAGCTCTGTGCAGGGGCCTGGTGGAACCGGGCAGCGGATGGGGGCTGGCGGTCTGAGGGCAGCGGTGCCAGGTTTCTTAGTCTGTGCCAGGCCCCAGGGTGAACACTGTGTGTTCCGTGTGTCTCTGACTCTCGAAAGAACCCTACCGAGTGGGGTCTCATGCTCTGCCCATGTTCCCGATGAGCAGGGCTGAATGACCTGCCCGAGGTCACTAGCAGGCAGCAAGCGTGTCGGGCGACGGAGACTCTCCACCACTGTGTCCACCATGCGTGGGCAGGGGGTGAGGGCTTGCCCTTCCCACCAGCCCCTCCGAGCCAAATGCCCTCCCCATGTGACCCTCCCAGTCCTGTGTGGCCCAGCATGGCCCCGGGACTAACAGGGGTCGCTGTTTCTCCATGCCTGGGTTCTGACCCTGCCAGGACACTGGACTGGAGACTGGCTGAGCCTGTGGACTGGAGCTGGACTTCTGCCCTAATTAGGACTGTCATCCTGTGCTCCAAAGTGCCCTGCCGCACTGGGGGGTTCTTACAGCCACGAGCATTCTCACACCAGGCCATCCCTTGCCCCCAGCAGTCCACAGCCCTGTGGGGGAGGCAGATGGCTGGGACCACGACCAGGGGTGGAGGTGAGGGGACCTTCGTCAGTGTGAGTGGCATAGGGGAGGGAGGCAGGGGTCAGCAGGGGAGCTGCGAGTGCCTCACCAAGTCCGAGCACGGGCCAGACCTGTGTGAGGGCTGTTCCTCCGCCCCAAGCAGGGGCAGGTGACAGCTGCAGCCCACTTCAGAGGCCATGGTCACCCCAGGAGGTGCAGGAGTGCAGGGGCCAGGCAGGGATGACCGCAGTAGGTGCAGCAGCTGTGGGATGGACGTTGGCAGAGGGTCCTGGCAGGGAGAGGGACATCCCGAGGCCTTTGGGAATCGGTGCCCAGCTCTGGATTTGGAACTGTGTCTGGAGGCCCCATGGTGAAGCCGGCGGG